GCTGCCGTTTTTGCTTAAAAAAATGGGTCTTGAAGGGTGATAGCTGGGGTGGGTTGATAAGCACGGCAGACAGGAGACTATTTCCAGAGTATAGACAGAGTGTGTGCTGGAACAACAAATTCTCTGGCATGTCTGGAGAAAGTACAAGTGAGTATTTGCTCTCAAATAGGACGCTTTAATGTAATGTATTGAGCCCACTCCAGCTCCAGGAAAGGGGAGCTGCATTTCCGGTTTGAACGACCACAAGGATTTATGAAGTCAAACTTTAGACCGGGGTAGGTCTGGGTGCTTTTACATATACTCGCTTACTCACAGTTCACCAAAGTCATAGAAGACAAACATCTTTACAATCTCCTTCATGGAGCAAAGGAAACCAAGGATCAGAGAGGTGCTGTGGTTGCCTCACATGCAGCCAGGGCTTCTGGTGGGAAGTTTGCTTTTTCTCCCTTATTTCAATTTACCCAAACCACAGGGGTAAAGTATGGGGTTGGCTGCAAGACTGTACAGAAAATCGCACAAACTTTTTGGCCAACCCAATAACACCTCACTTGCATTAGACATTTTACTTTTTCAAAACACCTTCATTATCTTTTTTTAATCTTCAATATATTTTATCTGACTTTATTACAAGTCCATGAGGGATGCAGAGGGTGTGTATCACAATTTGCAATCATATCCTTCCAATTTTAAAGATGGCAAAGCTCAGGAATGTTTTGGCCAAGGTGATGTACTCCTACAAAGATACGGACCAAGCAAGCTTAGACAAACCACTTCCCAGGATCAAGCCCACAACTCTTCTGATTTGCATCTTCAGTTCAGTTCAGTTCAGTTGCCCAGTTGTGTCTGACTCTTTGCGACCCCATGGACTGCAGCACGCCAGGCCTCCCTGTCCATCACCAACTCCCGGAATTTACTCAAACTCATGTCCATGGAGTTGGTGATGCCATCCAACCATCTCATCCTCTGTCGTCCCCTTCTCCTGCCTTCAATTTTTCCCAGAATCAGGGTCTTTTCCAATGAGTCAGTTCTTTGCATCAGGAGGTCAAAGTACTGTAATTCTAGCTTAAACATCAGTCCTTCCAATGAATATTCAGAACTGATTTCCTTTAGGATGGACTGGTTGGATCTCCTTGCAGTCCAAGGGACTCTCAAGAGTCTTCTCCAACACCACAGTTCAAAAGCATCAATTCTTTGGTGCTCAGCTTTCTTTATAGTCCAACTCTCACATCCATACATGACTACTGGAAAAACCATAGTCTTGACTAGATGGACCTTTGTTGGCAATTAATGTCTCTCTTTTAGTATGATATCTAGGTTGGTCATAACTTTCCTTCCAAGGAGTAAGCATCTTTTAATTTCATGGCTGCAGTCACCACCTGCAGTGATTTGCATCTTAGACTGTCCTAAAACATCACTGTGTCTCTGAACCATGTAGGCCAGAATTCCATAGGCATCCTTAGTCCTGAGCTGTACTGCTTTGGGTGTGCAAGAACTGTAACTCCAAATAAATTGCTCCTCTCTCCAGTAGAGTCTAAAGAGAATGGTAGGCATGATCATCTTTAAAGGAAAGTATATAGACCTTTGTGTACCTAACATACCTTATCCACAGGCATCCCTGAACTGGCCTATAAAGCATTATATTCCATAGCCAGTTGGTTTAATACCTCCAGTTCATCTTCAAAGAAAATTTAACTATGACCATCTTTTCTTATGTCTTATTAGAAAGACAAAACACCACTGTATATACTGCGTTTCTTTGTAGTTTTTTAAAAAGAAAATGAAGTATATTTGATTTAAAATATGGTCTGATTGTAGTTTTGAACCCTAGCCTATAGTTTAAAATTTTTGCTAATGATTTGGGGGTATTTCATTATTTTTAAAATCTGACACTGAGAATGAACTAACTTATAGCAGAATTTTAGAGCCTGAAAGGACCTTCGTTTTTAAGCCCTAACACAATGGTACTTTTAAATTTGTATTTCTGTGTGTGTGTGCATGTGTGTGTGTGTGTGTGAGAGAGAGAGACAGAGAAATGGGGGGAGAGATTTAAAGTGAGTTTAATATTTAAAATTCTTTTTGGAAGAGGAAGGGAAGAATCCAAGCTCACAGTACCTACACAGAGAAGATAAAAAGAATGTAGAAAAAATATAAACATATATAAATACAAGAGAATATATATTGTATTCAGTGCTGGCTGCCACTACTTAAGAAGGCCACAGGCAAACTGAAATATACCAAGACAGAGTGAGGAAGTCAAGACAGCCAGAGGCTGGCAAGCTCTGCCTCACACGGCATGGCTAAAGAAATGTCTAACAGGAGAAGAGAAAAGCAGTCCTCTCTCTCTAAGAACCTAGAAGGTGACAGGTAAGAGGAGGATTTGCCTTCAAGGGTAAGAAACTTCTTGAAGGAAGTTTCAGAGATTCCAGTCTCAGTAAATACTTCTTACTAAGGGTGTTTGGAAAGGGCGTAAATGGAATGGGCTCCTTGATGAGATCACAACCACCCTAGCAAGAAACTGTTCATTCAGAGGTTTGGAGGGATCCTCTGAGGGAGAAAGATGAGAATCTCGCATTGAAAGAAGGGACAGATGGCCTCTAAGTCAGAGATTCTGTGAGGCCCAAACCAAGACCTCAGGATAGTCCTGACCAACTCTGAGCCCTGTCCAAGGTGCCGCCATGAGAACCTTTGTTGAACTTCACTTCTGCCCTATTTCATCTATCATCCTGATCCTACCAGGAATGTAGAGGAAATGTGGAGGTTAAGGGAGAGGAAGAGAGCGAAAGAGAGTCAGAGAGTTAAAGTGAACATAATTTTAAAAAAGTGAACTGGAATGCGGTTCATTCAGTGAGAATATGATTTACTCTCTGTTGTAGATGAAAACATCAATTCCACAAGGACAAAACTATGACCTAATGAGGCCCAAACCAAAAGAACATGTCTGAGGAGGAAAAGCAAACACTTCCAGCACTGGGAAGTTGAGCCTGGGTGTCCGCCAGCCATGTCTTGCACTGACTTCTGGAAAGAAACTCTGGAATTAGATCCATTACTGAGTTATGTACCGGAAACTCTCCAAATCCAAGTTCCAGATTTTTGGCACACCTGAAGTGGTCATGCTTTCCTCTTGATTTTGCAAAGATTGCTTGACTTTTACAGTGGATTTGTTTGGCAATTATTATTGAGAATGTATGCAACACGGATGACAATCCTGATTCCCGTTCTAGAGAGCAATAGACATAACAGCCACGTGTACAGGAGCATCAAAGACTACGTCAGGTGTCCGTTATCTCGGCTTCGTTCTAACACTTCTCATTGTTTGTGAGGCTTAAACTTCTGAGTAACTCTAGGCCAGTGGTTCTCAAAGTTCAGCCTGCATGAGAATCAACCAGAAGGCTTATTAAAAACAAGGTGCTGGGTCCAACTGCCCAAACTGTAGCTCTGGGCTGGGGCCTGAGAACTTACATGTCTAACAAGTTCCCAGATGCTACCGATTCTGCTGGTCCCAGAACCACATTTGAGAACTACTACCTAAGATCAATAGCTGGTCCCAGCCCTGGCTACATCTGCACTTAATTAAAAGATGGTGACCTCTTCCCCACATCCCCCATCTCCACAGATGTTAACTTCATTATATAGGATCCATGCATAGTGCCCTTTTGATTAAACTTCCTCAGCAGACTCAACTAAGCATTTCCCATGAAGACCACCCAGAAACCTCAGAAGGTCTTAAGTCTGGGTGTGTGTGTATTTTAATTCTTAGTGCTATACAAGGGACAAGACATTTTGTAGGGCCTACCGAACCCTACAAAATTTGGGCCTTGGTTACTTTAAAAATTCCTTTCTCCATAGCACTTCACGGCAACAAAGATGTTCTACATTTCTCCTGTTAATGAGATCCAGGTTTAAAATTTTAGAAGGAGCCTTTTCAGAGCAAGAACCCCAACTTAGGGGCATCCAGTCACTAGAACCATAGTGCAATTAACCCCAAGTCTACTCATAAAGAAGGAAAATGAAATGCAAGAATTGAGTAAAAATTAACTTAAAATTCAATGCTTATGCAACATATATGCATCATAAGATATATAAAATTATTATTTATTGAATCTGAAGCAGTCCAAATGGCTACACTGGCTAACTGTAAAAGATAAAACCATGGTCATATATTTTAAATTATAATGTGCTTATTTTTACTAAATCTAAGTTGAGAAAAATATATTATTATGGACACTAGTCAATTCTTCCAATTAAAATGTACCAACTTAATAACCAAAAGAGGAAATAAAGTCTATTAAAATAAATATCTTTTTTTCTGAAGAGGAGTAAAGTTGCAAGTTAAGGTGATTAAGTAAGAAGAGTGGGTTAAATGTCTGTAGTAATCAAATATTTGCACATCTGTACATACAGAAAGAATATGATCTAGCAAGCACTGATTGTTTCATCCAAAGGTTTTCTCTAGCCGAATTTACTAAGGATAATTAGAGGAAGGAAAATGAACAGAATCTGCTTCTAGTTTAGGTGAGGTACTGTGATTAAAAGTGCAAAAATGAACACTGTATACTTAACTAATACACTTCCAATATATGTCATAGCATGTCAAGAAAAAACACAAGATGAAAACACAAGATTACTGTTAAGTACCTTTAAAGGAATTCAGCTAGGCAGTGTAATCCTCAGTTTTTACAATATGCTGCTTTTTAACATAATTTCTTACATAGAGTAAATACTTAATACATTGCTTGTTGAGTTCACTTCCAGACTATGATCACTGTTGGGTCCTACACTAAAAACTGTGATATTGTGTGAAATCGCAAATGTTGAGATGATTATTTTTCTTCAACTTATAATAACTTCAGGTTCAAATGTCTTCTTGCACTGTTTCCCTCAGAAGTCTTTTTCTGAGGAGAAGTCAGTCTTTTAGTCCTTCTTTCAGAAATTATCTGTTGATGAGCATTGTGGAAGTTTGGTCTGACTCCCCAGAGTTAAAGCAGAGGGTTTTTTTGCCATTAAGCATATGGAGAGAGAATAACATTTGCAGGCTGTGGTGTGGGTTTTTTCTCTTTGGCATCACAGAAAGACACCAACTTTATTCTGTAATTCACCAACATAAGCAGGAAAGGACTGAGCGCAGAGAAGCCTGAAGAGAGGGCTGTGAGCACAGCTGGAAAAAAGACACAGACTGCCAAGCCTTTCAAGAAATAGACTAAGATAAAATGAGAAATCCAAAGTGGAGTGATCAGCCACATTAATAAAATACTAAACTTGGCCCCTCTAAGGGTTTCAATTTCTGAATCATCGTCTCCAATCCAGATGTCACCATATGTCATCTTCTTTCTCTCCGAAAGCAGAAAAGACATCCAGAAACAGACAAAGACTAAGGTGGCTAAAGGGAGAATGTCAATCAGAACCAAAAACACGTCCTCATAGTAAAATTCTACTTGCTTGTTTCCAAAGTCAGTTAAGCAATCCGTGTGAATCCTGTTTGCAGACAAGGGGTCTGTATCATTTCCTGCATTCAGGTATTCTGATTTTCTAGTATAGAGTAAAACTGGAAGGTATACTGCCACGCCTGTCACCCAAAGTGCAGAAACCACCTTTAAGGAACGCTTCTGATGGTCCGGGTTTGGAGTCTCACTCAAGGGGTGGAGAGTCTGGTACAGCTTCTGGTGGTAGAGCAACGCGAAATGTAACATGAACCAGATGGCCAGGGATGTCGTCAGGGCTGCCGTGAAGCGCAGAACTTTGCAGCCAGCTGAATCCAACGTGCAACCAGAAGAATAAACAATTTTCATGACATTCACCACCAAGTTCTTAATGAGGTGGACAAATATAAGACTGAAAATCAGAAGAAAGGATGTCTCTGGACACCCGGTCATACACTTCCTTGTAGAATAAAATAAACACAGGTTTCCAACAAAGCTCACAAGGATTAGAAGGATGCAAGTGACGATTTCAAGCACATCCACAGAGGACTTCATGGTAAATGGCGAGTCGGTGAGCTCAGACGGCTTCTTCTTCGAGTCATAAGGCACTTGGAAAACTTTTAAGAAGTCTTTAGTAAGAAGACCTGGGTTTTTCTAAGCCACTATGTTGACACACTCCGCAACTGGTGTCACTCTAATAATTCAGAGATGATTTGCAACAGAATTATGCTTGTTCCAGTGCTGAGCTACTGGAAACAAAACAGCTTCTCAAGAGGATTCTGTTTTATCATCTCTAGGGATTTAACTATAATGAGAAAGTTCTAGGTATCATCACTTAATTAAAAGTTCTCAGAAATGTATTTATAGCACAGTAATGCAATTTCCTAGATACAGTGTGATACAATTTTCAACAACCATGAGGGAGAGGAGAAAATTAACTGTGTGACAACAAAGGACAGATAGCCAGAGGTTGAAATGACCCTCTCCACTCAAAAAATATTAAAGACGTGGGGGTGTTTGAATAATTATGAAGGTTTCCAAATAACAAAATTATGTATTACTGATGACATTAATAACATGATAGAAATTTATGAAGGATAGCAGTTTTCTAATGTCTCTACCATTTTTGCAGAACAGGAATACTATTACCTATTCTGATGATCCCTTGGGGGTTGTTAGGATTACAAAACAGATGATAGAAAATACTTGTGAGGTCACAGGGAAGGGAATAAAGAAGACAGGGAGGGAGGGAGGGAGAAGGGAAGGGAGAAGGGAAGGGAGGAAAGGAGACATTTTTACAAACATGGGCACTATGTCCAAAACCAAAACTTTAAACTACTGGTTAAAGAAACAATTTGATATTCAAAAATCATTAGGGAGGCCCACCACTCAACCCTCCACCTCTGCACCCCACTGCCAATTGGGCACAAGCAACTAGGAAAAGATTTCTGTCCTCAGTATGACGACAGAGTACAGAGCAAGGACAGAAAAACGGTACAAAATCATGCTGCTCAAGTAATCACTTTCTGAATGAATTCTGTTAGTCATTCCCAGGAGAAACTATTTTCCCTCTATTCTACATGCTTGCAGATTTCACTGTCAATCATTCTATCCTGTACTATTGCAACACATACTTCGCTCTGACCCAGTGGTGCTCTGGAACCAGCTTGCACTGACTTGAGCAACTGTGTGCATCTCTTCCCAACTCTGTGCTCAGCAACTACAGAGCAGTTGCTTGGAAGTTTGAAACTGGGTATCCTGAAAGTATTTACACCATGGAAATCAGCAAATGCTGCAACTCAGGGCTTTGGGTGAGGGAGGAATTGTTTTACTAGGACAATACTGGCCTGAGCAAAAAATACAGAATAGAGTGATAAGATATGAGCTGGTATTTTACCTACATAATGATAAGATCAGTATTAGCTATGTTTTTTCCAGTAGTCATGTAAGGATGTGAGAGTTGGACTATAAAGAAAGCTGAGCACCGAAGAATGGATGCTTTTGAAATGTGGTGTTGAAGAAGACTCTTGAGAGTCCCTTGGACTGCAAGGAGATCCAACCAGTCCATCCTAAAGGAAATCAGTCCTAGGTGTTCATTGGAAGGACTGATGCTGAAGCTGAAACTCCAATACTTTGGCCACCTGATGCGAAGAACTGACTCATTAGAAAAGACCCTGATGCTGGGAAAGATTGAAGGCAGGAGGAGAATGAGTTGACAGAGGATGAGATGGTTGGATGGCATCACCGATTCAATGGACCTGAATTTGAGCAAGCTCAGGGAGTTGGTGATGGACAGGCAAGCCTGGCGTGCTGCATTCCATGGGGCTGCAAAGAGTCAAACACGACTGAGTGACTGAACTGAACCCTTTCAATAAGGGTATGAGTAAGCGGTTTATAGCAGTATTAACAAGTAGGAAAGTTGGACCTTACAATTCCACCCAAGGGAGGTAAGCTTGGGGGCTGATACTTCCTACTAAACTCCTTATCCCCAACTGGCTGTTAAGACAGGTAGCCAACTCAGAGTCCCCACACCACATTTTTCTTCCCTAAGAAACAGCCATTACTTCAGTGTCAACTGCAGTCAAACAGGCACCTCTGAATTTATAATAATAACAATAACAATAATACAGTGATAACACAATAACATTGCTCATACTGGTTACCATTTATTTAACATAAATTTGGGCCAAACACTGTTTTGGTGTTCTGCTTTATAAATATGATCTCATTTAATCCTTAATATCATTCTTATATCACTAATGAGAAAGTAAAAGACCAGAGAGGAAAGCAAATTTCTCAAAGCTGCTAAGAAATAGATACAGGACTCAAAGTCAGGTGTGACTGATTCTGAAACCACTGGTTCTTTACCAGCACCTCTCCACAGTGCTGTCTGACTGTGGGTTTTCTGTTGACAGTTCTTGATAGTTTACTGATCATTTACAATTGGTACACCCAACCTATAGAGCCCATAATATGCATTTCTTGATAAAGAGTTTTCTTGGGTTTATAATACACAAGTCATGTAGATGTTTTGGATAGCAGTCTTCTCCCTTCTCCTTCAACAATAATAACACACATTAAGGGCGTTTACACTTTTGAATATCATAAAGATCTTTAAATATTCTGTACACCAGTTCAAGATGCCTTACAAGAAAGAGAAAAGAGTTGATATCAGCAGAAGTGAGGACCCCATTCCTGATCATATTTAAGCAGAGGCACAATGATCACCTGGAGTGAGTCTGTAGATTATTGAAAAACAATCCTAAATAGAAGACAACATACAGCCACCTTGAGATTTAATTTTGCGGTAGGGAATGAAGAAATTGTCTATGTGATGCTATTTTTCAAATATGTTGACACAGTAACAGTTTATGGCAAATACTGTTAGAGCTGAGGGCTAAGGGTAAAAATGTTTTTTAAACCCCCTTCTCTAAAGGCTTACATAAACATTTGTCTTTCAGAGGATTAGCAAACATGTAGTATGTTCCTTGGCAGCAGAGCAAAAGTGTAAAATATAAATGTCATTTTTTTCCTTCAAGGTTATTTACATATCTTGACAGTATATATTAGAGGTGTATATTAAAAATAGCACACATTACAATATAAGGGGAGTAAAACTGATTTTTGTGAATGTTGTCTTGACTGATGGATGATGCTTTTGTTAACCATGGCACAGTATGGCTACGGAGGCTCCTCTGTAAGACTGCCTCACTTGGCTGTCTACCGAGAACTGTTGTGAGCCCCGCTCAGCACTGGACTCCAAGGGTGATGCACAGAAATGGAGGCCACTGTCCCTGCCTTCAAGAGGTGTGCGGTTTAGTTGTAAGAACACACTGAAGTTTAATGCTATGTTAATATATACTATTTATATTACATGTATGGGACTCCCCAGGTGGCGCTAGTGATAAAGAACCCACCTGCCTGCCAGTGCAGGAGACATTAGAGGTGTGGGTTTGATCCCGTGGTCAGGAAGATTCCCTAGAAAAAGGCATGGCAACCCACTCCAGTATTCTTGCCTGGAGAATCCCATGGACAGAGGAGCCTGGTGGGCTACAGTCTGTGGGGTCACAAAGAACTGGACATGACTGAAGTGACTTAGCACACACACACTCAAACCTACTACATGTACGTGTACCTACACATGCACGTATATATCATTTAAGATCAATGTAAATACATTATTTACTAATAACTAATAAATCATGAATAACACAATGTGATAAACTGTGTGGTCATGAGTACAAGAATAAAACACTCAAGAGAAGAGAAGACCCCGTGTGGCCTCCAATTCACAGGAAAGGAAACTGAAGTGTGAAGAACCAGCAGAAGAGGTGGCACAGAACCTCAGACCTTTTGCTTTCAACAGATCTTTTTGAAAGAGAAAGGGAAGGGGGAAAGCAAAGCTGACTGACTTGTGAAGCAGAGCTGTTAAGAAACCTGGGTGCCAACACCAAGACTTCCCTGGAACTGCAGTGATGAGCTGCTGACGGCCGAAAGCCCCTTTCTGAGAGGCAGGAATAGGGCCCAGGGCAGGGGGGCACAGGAAGCCCACCTATCTCCTCCTCCTCCTCCTCCAAGGACTGCATCCTCCCTCAAGGAAGGTAACTGTCCTGTGTACATTTCAAGGAGGAAAGAAAAAGAAAAAAAAAAGTTTCCTTTGGAAACTAAACACTGGCTCTGCCAATCCAACTTCACTGAGGTCATTTGAGAACTGAGGAGTTCAAAGGTTCTCTACAGCTTCGATTTACTTTGGCATAAGATTTAACAGAAAAAGAACTAAGGGAGAATTTATATGGCCCAGGCTGTTTTCCAAGTCGCAAACTGCTAAAGTTATTTAGAATTTACTTTAACTTGCAATCACATGTAAAGTGGCTCAGATGTAAATGCTTTCCGTGTGGCTTAAGGCAATCTAGGTTTCCTCAAACGCACATGTGCGATTCTAATAGTAAAGATCTGGATTCGAAATCTCAAGAGTATTTACTTTGGGTTCCTCATGATTAGAGGCTGCTGTTACCTTATGCAACGTCGGGTGGGAGTGGAAGAAATAAAACACGCTGCTGCCTTCATTTGGGCATTAAGTTCTCACAGTAGCGCTAAGATAAACAAATCTTACAGGCTGAGGGAAGGGCATTTACTCCTTTAAATTGAGTATGTAATATAAATCACTGTCTTTTAAGACGAGATGCCTGAAACTTGATTCTAGGTCTGTATCTACAGGAGGGCACTGATTTACTGTAATGATCAGTATAGCATGTATGGGGGAAGGGCACACCTTCTGGAGGGTGGCGCTGCTCTCGCCAAGCAGGATAATCCACCAAGTCACAGAGAGATGCTGCTTGGAGCTGTCTGTGGCCAGGAACAAATTGACATTTGCATTTTTATATAGAATGAAATGGGGGAAATTACCAAATCCTTTATCTTGTAATCAATGGCTGCCTGTAGGTTGTTTTAATTCTCTCCAAGGCAGTGATTTTGTGATTGGCCTAGGGAAGACTGAAAAACGCCCTAGCTCCAAATTGGAAGTGACTGGAGAGTAACTTCAGGCTGGCTGGGGCCAGAGCAATTAAATGGTAATTGCCTTTTAGATATAC